GTTGGGGTGGGGGTCCCAGGGGTAATCTCCAAGGTCAGTTATCCAGACTACTTCTCTGTATCAGGGTTGTTGGGTCGGGGGTCCCAGGGGTAAGCCCCAAGGTCAGTTATCCAGCCTACTTTTCTGTATCAGGATTGTTGGGTGGGGGTTCCAGGGGTAAGCCCCAGGGTCAATTATCCAGACTAATTTTCTGTATCAGGATTGCTTGGGTGGGGTTCCCAGGGGTAAGCCCCAGGGTCAATTATCCAGTCTACTTTTCTGTATCAGGATTGTTGGGGTGGGGGTCCCAGGGGTCATCTCCAGGGTCAATTATCTAGACGACTTTTCTGTATCAGGATTGTTGGGCTGGGGGTCCCAGGGGTCTCCTTGGGGTCAATTTTCCACCATACTTTTCTGTATCAGGATTGTTTGGGTGGGGGTCCCAGGGGTCATCCCCAGGATAAATTATCCAGCCTTCTTTTCTGTATCAGGATTGTTGGGGTTGATTTTTTTATTTTCCTTTATATGATGACAATTTAAGTTTTCATTGGGTTTCCTCCTAGATCTATGTATCAGGGTGAGCATGACTGGTCCTTTGTCTGTTGTCTATCGTCTGTCAACTTTTGCATTAAACAACGTTTCCTCCCAAACCACTGAGTAGTATTCAATGAAATTTTGTTGCTATAAAAGCATCTGTACAGTCCCTTTGTTTGTTTTCAAAATTTGTATCCATATAGTCTTTGTAGACTTTGACCCTCCTAGAGTCTAGGTCAAAAGGGGTTAAACAAGTTGATCTGCTGTTAATGACATTTCTCCGAAAGATTTTGGCGTCTTTCAACCAAATTGTAGTGGTAGCATGCCTAGCTCATGGGAGGCTGAGTGGTGGAGTGCAAGGGGCTTAATGGCATATCCTCCAAAACCACCGGGCAGATTTTAACGTGTAATGATAATATGCCTAGCTAAGTATACATGTAAGGGGGACACTGACGTCGACCCTCCTGGGGGATGAGGTGAGGATGCTGTGATTGATTTCTCCCAAACATTGTCATCAGCTCAGTACATCTTTCTAACTTTGTATACAAATATATACCTGTATATACATGAGTACTGCCAAGTCACATCACACCAACAAATATATACCTGTATATACACGATTACTGCCAAGTCACATCACACCCACAAATATTTACCTGTGTATACATGATTACTGCCAAGTCACATCACACCAACACATATATACCTGTATGTACATGATTACTGCCAAGTCACATCCCACCCACAAATATATACCTGTATATACACGATTACTGCCAAGTCACATCACACACACAAATATATACCTGTATATACATGATTCCTGCCAAGTCACATCACACCCACAAATATCTACCTGTGTATACATGATTACTGCCAAGTCACATCACACCCACAAACATATACCTGTATACATGATTATTGCCAAGTCACATCACACCCACAAATATCTACCTGTGTATACATGATTACTGCCAAGTCACATCATACCCACAAATATATACTTGTATATATACACGATTACTGCCAAGTCACATCACACCAACAAATATATACCTGTATATACGCGATTACTGCCAAGTCACATCATACCCACAAATATATACTTGTATATATACACGATTACTGCCAAGTCACATCACAGCCACAAACATATACCTGTATACATGATTATTGCCAAGTCCCATCACACCCACAAATAAATTCCTTTATATACTTGATTACTGCCAAGTCAGATAACAGCCACAAATATATACCTATATATACATGATTACTGCCAAGTCACATCACACCCACAAATATATACCTTTATATACTTGATTACTGCCAAGTCACATCACAGCCACAAATATATACCTGTATATAAATGATTACTGCCAAGTCACATCACACCCACAAATCCCAACTATATCACAACTCAAGTCACATCACAACCACAAATACCAACTATATCACAACTCAAGTCACATCACACCCACAAATATATTCCTGTATATACATGATTACTGCCAAGTCACATCACAGCCACAAATATATACCTGTATATACATGATTACTGCCAAGTCACATCACAGCCACAATTATATACCTGTATATACATGATTACTGCCAAGTCACATCACAACTACAAATACCAACTATATCACAACTCAAGTCATATCACACCCACAAATATATTCCTGTATATACATGATTACTGCCAAGTCACATCACAGCCACAAATATATACCTGTATATACATGATTACTGCCAAGTCACATCACACCCACAAATATATACCTTTATATACTTGATTACTGCCAAGTCACATCACAGCCACAAATCTATACCTGTATATACATGATTACTGCCAAGTCACATCACAACTACAAATACCAACTATATCACAACTCAAGTCATATCACACCCACAAATATATTCCTGTATATACATGATTACTGCCAAGTCACATCACAGCCACAATTATATACCTGTATATACATGATTACTGCCAAGTCACATCACACCAACACATATATACCTGTATATACATGATTACTGCCAAGTCACATCACAGCCACAATTATATACCTGTATATACATGATTACTGCCAAGTCACATCACACCAACAAATATATACCTGTATATACATGATTACTGCCAAGTCACATCACAACCACAAATACCAACTTTATCACAACTCAAGTCACATCACAACCACAAATACCAACTATAGCACAACTCAAGTCACATCACACCCACAAATATATTCCTGTATATACATGATTACTGCCAAGTCACATCACAGCCACAATTATATACCTGTATATACATGATTACTGCCAAGTCACATCACAACTACAAATACCAACTATATCACAACTCAAGTGACATCACAACCACAAATACCAACTATATCACAACTCAAATCACATCACAACCACAAATACCAACTATGTCACAACTCAAGTCACATCACTTTCTTAAATACCAACTATGTCACAACTCAAGTCACATCACTTTCTTAAATACCAACTATATCACAACTCAAGTGACCGTTAAGGCTGTTTCAGTTATTACACTGTACAAACCAGAAAAGTTAGTTTATATTTTGTTTTCTAATGAATGAGAAATTGTAGTTTTGATGTACATGTGCGTTTGTATACATAGATCTTGTATCTACCACCAGGGTGTAAACCATTGATATTGATATTAATACATTGGGGTTTGTACAAAAAAAATCTTATCAAAATTCCATTCATATTTGTTATTCAAAATAAATTTGTTATAAATCTTCTCAATAAACCATATTTTCCCTCAAGGAATTGATTGTATTTTCCAATTGGAATTCCATTAAACGCCTATATTCTTACAATGCATTAGTGACCCTTGGGAGAGGTTAGATCAGCAGAGTTGGGGTATGAAGGTCAGAGGTCAGAATTATAATGGAAAAGTGTTGTTACTGACTCTGTGAATTTATAATTGTAATTTATGGAATGCTTTAATGAATGTTTATATTTTCAACTTTTGCACTGAAATACCTGGCCACTTCAGCTCCACACCAGAACAGGCAGACTGTGTGTATAGGTCTTTGAGCATTCACAAACCACCCCAGTAACAGTACAGCGCTAGTATGTCACTCATGATGTTGATATAGAGACCTATATTGTGTGTACAAATGGACGAAAAAACACACAACAGTTGAATTATACATTTTTTTGTTGCATTAATACATTTTTACATGCAGGTCATTGATCAGTGAGTGGTTTTTTTTCACAATGATTGTTTTTATTTCACCGTGTGGGATATTTATCGTGGTAAAACAGGAAAAGATACATTTGGTAACTTTTACATTTATAATATTTTATCAAATTTATCAATTTATATTTCAATTTCATATCATTGTTATATAAATTGCTTCCCCACCCCAAGTCCCTACCGCGAAGTCCCCAACCCCAAGTCCCCGATAGCCAAGTCTCCAACCCCCCAACAAGTCTCTACCCCCAAGTCCCCAACCCTACAACAAGTCCCTATAGCTACCCCCAAGTCCCCAAGTCCCCAACAAGTCCCCAAGTCCCCAACAAGTCCCTACCCCCAAGTCCCCAACCCCCAGCCTCCCATCTCCAGTACTCACTGTTTTTATTTCAACTATGTAAAACTTTTATCACAGCAAAACATCAAGTATAAAATTATAACACATTTCCTGTGAAGCCAACAGAGATCTTAGAAGTCGTAATTTCTTGCCAAAGAAAATTTATTTGGAAAATGCTTTGAATTATAGAATACCATCACATGAATGTCTTACCATTGGTAAACAAGAGTCAGACTTTGTAGAAAGAAACTTTGGCAGATAAAAATGTAGGTATAGAACTTGGTTATTTTTATGATAGAAAGTGACAGCTGGATTTTTGGCAGACCCTGGAGGTTATCTGAAGGGTGGAGAAAGAACAGGGACAGAGAAAGGGATAAAAAGTAGGCAGTAGGGGGATACAGCAGCATGGGAAAGGAGGGGAGGGACTCTCAGAAAGATGGGAGGGGCATTAGGAAAGATGGGAGGGACATTGGAAAGATGGGAGGGGCATTAGGAAAGATTGAGGGCATTGGAAAGATGGGAGGGGCATTCACAGGGTAAGATGGGAGGGGCATTGGAAAGATCGGAGGGACATTGGGAAAGATGGGAGGGACATTGGAAAGATGGGAGGGGCATTAGGAAAGATTGAGGGCATTGGAAAGATGGGAGGGGCATTCACAGGGTAAGATGGGAGGGGCATTGGGAAAGATGGGAGGGACATTGGGAAAGATGGGAGGGACATTTGAAAGATGAGAGGGGCATTTAAAAGCTGGAAGGGACATTGGGAAAGATTTGAGGGACATTGGAAAAGATGGGAGGGACATTGGGTAAGATGGGAGGGGCATTGGAAAAGATGGGAGGGACATTGGAAAAGATGGCAGGGACATTTGGAAATATGGGAAGGGCATTGGGAAGATCGAATGGACATTGCAAAAGATGGCAGGGACATTTGGAAAGATGGGAAGGGCATTTGGAAAGATGGGAGGGGCATTTGGAAAGATGGGAGGGGCATTTGGAAAGATGGGAGGGGCGTTGGGAAAGATGGAAGGGGCATTGGGAAAGATGGGAGGGGCGTTGGGAAAGATGGAAGGGGCATTGGGAAAGATGGGAGGGGCATTTGGAAAGATGGGAGGGGCATTTGGAAAGATGGGAGGGGCGTTGGGAAAGATGGGGGGGACATTGGGAAAGATTGAGTGCATTGGGAAAGATGGGAGGGACATTGGAAAAGATGGGAGGGACACTGGGTAAGATGGGAGGGGCATTGGAAAAGATGGGAGGGACATTGGAAAAGATGGCAGGGACATTGGGAAAGATGGGAAGGGCATTGGGAAGATCGGATGGACATTGGAAAAGATGGCAGGGACATTGGGAAAGATGGGAAGGGCATTGGGAAGATCGGATGGACATTGGAAAAGATGGCAGGGACATTGGGAAAGATGGGAAGGGCATTGGGAAGATCGAATGGACATTGCAAAAGATGGCAGGGACATTTGGAAAGATTGGAAGGGCATTTGGAAAGATGGGAGGGGCATTTGGAAAGATGGGAGGGGCGTTGGGAAAGATGGAAGGGGCATTGGGAAAGATGGGAGGGGCAATAGAAAAAATGGGATGGACATTAGGAAAGATTGAGGGCATTGGAAAGATGGGAGGGACATTCACAGGGTAAGATGGGAGGGGCATTGGGGAAGATGGGCGGGACATTGGGAAAGATGGGAGGGACATTGGAAAAGATGGCAGGGACATTTGGAAAGCTTGGAAGGGCATTTGGAAAGATGGGAGGGGCATTTGGAAAGATGGGAGGGGCATTTGGAAAGATGGGAGGGGCATTTGGAAAGATGGGAGGGGCGTTGGGAAAGATGGAAGGGGCATTGGGAAAGATGGGAGGGGCAATAGAAAAAATGGGATGGACATTAGGAAAGATTGAGGGCATCGGAAAGATGGGAGGGGCATTCACAGGGTAAGATGGGAGGGGCATTGGGGAAGATGGGCGGGACATTGGGAAAGATGGGAGGGACATTGGAAAAGATGGGAGGGACATTTGGAAAGATTGGAAGGGCATTTGGAAAGATGGGAGGGGCATTTGGAAAGATGGGAGGGGCGTTGGGAAAGATGGGAGAGGAATTGAGGAATCAGGGAGGGATGGGGAGGGGGGTTGTGGAGGAGAAGAGTTGGGCTAGGTGGGAAAAAGAAAGAATTGGTGAGGATGAAAAGGCAATGAAGAGAAGGGGAGGAAACAGGAAAAGGAGGGGGGGGGGGATGTTGGAAAGTGGAGTGAGAAGAAAAAGAGAGGGTGGTAAGGCAGAGAAACAAGATACAGATGTAGGAGGGAACAGAAGGGGGAGGAGAAGAAAGGGTAGGTACTGCTTTAACATGTTGGTGAGTGAGAGAAGCAAGGGTAGGTACTGCTTTAACATGTTGGTGAGTGGGAGAAGAAAGGGTAGGTACTGCTTTAACATGTTGGTGAGTGAGAGAAGCAAGGGTAGGTACTGCTTTAACATGTTGGTGAGTGAGAGAAGAAAGGGGAGGTACTGCTTTAACAGGATGGTGAGTGAGAGAAGAAAGGGTAGGTACTGCTTTAACAGTTTGGTGAGTGAGAGAAGAAAGGGTAGGTACTGCTTTAACAAGTTTGTGAGTGAGAGAAGAAAGGGTAGGTACTGCTTTAACATGTTGGTGAGTGGGAGAAGAAAGGGTAGGTACTGCTTTAACATGTTGGTGAGTGGGAGAAGAAAGGGTAGGTACTGCTTTAACATGTTGGTGAGTGAGAGAAGAAAGGGTAGGTACTGCTTTAACAGGATGGTGAGTGAGAGAAGGGAGGTATTTTTTTTCTGATAAGTTAAATGTGTTCCCATTACAATTCGTTGGGTTTTATTTGTACGCAGGTTACGCAGAGTTACAGATAGATTTTGATACAGATAACAAAGTGTATAGATGGTGGTCAATGGGACACGGACATTTGTATGTTACAGCGTAGCTCTGGTTTTCTGACACACCACCTCTTCTTTCATAGTTAATTAATATATAATTCCATCTGTACTTTTGGAGCTATTGGAATGCCATGCTGCACTCTGGGAATCCCTCTGTACCTGATGATATCTGGGTGTATGAAGGTAGTGGAACATTTGTTGGTATGTGCATAAGGACTATCACATCATATATAACCTGATACCCGTGATAAACAGCTATAGGTGAAAGATGAGGATTGTAGCATGTTTTGATCCCTACCAGGTTTCTGTGATGACTGCAGTATCTCATACGCTACACTAGAACTGACAAGGAATGGTTTAGATCCGATGCCTGGCCTTAGGTATACAGTATGTAATAGCAAGGAAACATCTCAACACAGGCAACTGTCCCTGGTATACCTAGCATCAAGTCCCTGTGTCACCATTAACAGAGTACTACTTTAACTCATTCACCCCTTAAATTTCATGATGAACTATTCCAACCTTTGAATTGGAAGAGTTAAATTGTGTCTGCAGAGGTGATTAGCTTAATAGCTTGTTGCTGAGTATCGTGTCCCATACTGAGTTTGAATTGCTCCTATAAAGAGGTAAATCTGAGTATCATGTCCCATACCGAGTTTGTGTTGCTCCTTTATAGACGAGTAAATTGAGTATTGTGTCCCATACTGAGTTTGCTCCTATAAACGGGTAAATCTGCGTATCATATCCCATACCGAGTTTGAATTGCTCCTATAAAAGGTTAAATCTGAGTTTCGTGTCCCATACTGAGTTTGAATTGCTCCTTTATAAACAGGTAAATCTGATTATCGTGTCCCATACTGAGTTTGAAATGCTCTTATAAATGGGTAAATTGGGTATCGTGTCCCATATTGAGTTTGAACTGCTCCTATAAACGGGTGAATCTGCGTATCGTGTCCCATACTGAGTTTGAACTGCTCCTATAAACGGTAGAATCTGCGTATCGTGTCCCATACTGAGTTTGAATTGCTCCGGTAAATTGGTAAACAAGCGTCCAGCATACCCAGGTGTGGGCTGTAATCACAATGGATGTTGTTAAACACAGAGGTTGCACTATTGCGTACAATTACCTTGTAGAATATTAGGTATCAAACACATAACACAGCAGTGCTCTGTCGTAACAAGGATCACTGGCTTAATCAGACATTACCAAACAACTAATAGCCCTAATATTTCCTTAATTACTCCTGTCAAAAACCCACAGTCTTGTATTGAAAAACAATCATTTTCGAACAAAACTATGAAATTAATCATATTTTTGCAATGCCTCTTGAAAAACAAATCTTTTCTTAACTTTTAATAATGCATCTTCAAGTTTGAAGCTTGATAGGAAAAGCCCAGACCTTGTAAGTAAAATACACACTCAGGTATCACTACCCTCAACCCGGTGTGTCAGACGTCATTATAACACTGTGTTGACATCAAATTCTTATTGCTGATATTTTCATTTTTATTTAAAGAGCCACATGTATGTATTCTTGGACACACCATTACATCAAAATTATTTGTTGGTTCCAGTTTTAAAAATTGCATTTGAATTTAATTTTTAAAATTTTACTTTTGTCATATTAGTACAAAAGAAATGTTCGTTTTGGTATAATTGGTTCTACACAAGTTTCATCAATTAATTAAATCAGGTTTGTCTATCAATCAAGTTTGAAACTCCCTTCATTCTGCAAACAAAGTCAAACTTTTTGACAATAAATTCATATTATTATATATTATATATTATATATCATAACAATAATTTTCAACAGTCGCTTTCTTTGTGCCAAATTATTAAGGGAAAAAAATATGTCACAAGTTCAACACACCATATGAGCTCAATGTTGATATGATAAACAGTCACTGGAACTGACAGGACAACAGAGTAGAATGTGTATCACATGTGTCAAACGTCTACTGGAACTGACAGGACAACAGAATAGAATGTGTATCACATGTGTCAAACGTCTACTGGAACTGACAGGACAACAGAATAGAATGTGTATCACATGTGTCAAACGTCTACTGGAACTGACAGGACAACAGAATAGAATGTGTATCACATGTGTCAAACGTCTACTGGAACTGACAGGACAACAGAATAGAATGTGTATCACATGTGTCAAACGTCTACTGGAACTGACAGGACAACAGAATAGAATGTGTATCACATGTGTCAAACGTCTACTGGAACTGACAGGACAACAGAATAGAATGTGTATCACATGTGTCAAACGTCTACTGGAACTGACAGGACAACAGAATAGAATGTGTATCACATGTGTCAAACGTCTACTGGAACTGACAGGACAACAGAATAGAATGTGTATCACATGTGTCAAACGTCTACTGGAACTGACAGGACAACAGAATAGAATGTGTATCACATGTGTCAAACGTCTACTGGAACTGACAGGACAACAGAATAGAATGTGTATCACATGTGTCAAACGTCTACTGGAACTGACAGGACAACAGAATAGAATGTGTATCACATGTGTCAAACGTCTACTGGAACTGACAGGACAACAGAATAGAATGTGTATCACATGTGTCAAACGTCTACTGGAACTGACAGGACAACAGAATAGAATGTGTATCACATGTGTCAAACGTCTACTGGAACTGACAGGACAACAGAATAGAATGTGTATCACATGTGTCAAACGTCTACTGGAACTGACAGGACAACAGAATAGAATGTGTATCACATGTGTCAAACGTCTACTGGAACTGACAGGACAACAGAATAGAATGTGTATCACATGTGTCAAACGTCTACTGGAACTGACAGGACAACAGAATAGAATGTGTATCACATGTGTCAAACGTCTACTGGAACTGACAGGACAACAGAATAGAATGTGTATCACATGTGTCAAACGTCTACTGGAACTGACAGGACAACAGAGTAGAATGTGTATCACATGTGTCAAAACGTCTACTGGAACTGACAGGACAACAGAATAGAATGTGTATCACATGTGTCAAACGTCTACCGTTCATAAAACTCAACTTCTTATCTCCCCTAAGTGTGCAATTCTTTTGGAGAGGACATTAAACTTATTCACCCCTGAAATTTCATAATGAACTATTCTAACTATTGAATTGGAAGAGTTCAAATTTGTTTTCAGGGGTAAATGAGTTAAACTCCTGACAAGGAAGTAAACCATATATCCTCAGCATCACATGTTGATGCCATGCTGGTCTGGAAAGTTGATGACAAATGGTATCTGCTGAAGACTGAGAAATGTAAGGAAACACAGAAAAACTTTGGTGAAACCTGTGTCTCTACGATACAGATGAAGCCCTAGAAGAACTTCCTCTAAGTTTTTGTCTTTTGTTTGAGTGATTGTCAACAAAGCATATTACTGATTCTCAGAAAATTGATTAGAAATATACCAGGAAGTTAAACCAAATCTATCCAAGAATTATTTTAATTTCCGACTGACATTTCCGAGCCATTTAGCATGCTTGTAGCATACTTGCCAACTCTCCCTATTTAGGAGGGGGACTCCCGGTGTTGGACCCTAACCTTGAGCATGTTCAACCAATGAGTTTGCTGAACTATTCCTATTTTCTAAGATCTGTTGGTTTCATCTTAAAGAACCACTCTAAAGTTGCCATTTAAAAGTGTGAATGCTTCCCTAGGGTGTATAATTCTGAGCATTATCTCCCTCGTGTATAATTCGAAGCATTATCTCCCTCTTGAACTGTGTTAATGCACCCCTAGGGTGTATAATTCTGAGCATTATCTCCCTCGTGAACAATGTTAATGCTTCCCTAGGGTGTATAATTCTGAGCATTATCTCCCTCGTGAACAGTGTTAATGCTTCCCTAGGGTGTATAATTCTGAGCATTATCTCCCTCGTGAACAGTGTTAATGCTTCCCTAGGGTGTATAATTCTGAGCATTATCTCCCTCGTGAACAGTGTTAATGCTTCCCTAGGGTGTATAATTCTGAGCATTATCTCCCTCGTGAACAGTGTTAATGC